AAAAAAAAAAAAAAAAAAAGCCATGCTATAGGCTCAAAAAACATAATAATTTATTTAGTATGTCTCACGAAAGGTACAATACAAAAATAATGTAAAACATTTATTAAACATCGCGGGTCACTCACGTGAATATGTAAACTGAGAAAAGCTCTACTAGTTTCGAGTATGTTGCGCTCCACTGCCGCGATGAGGAAGAGCCCCACTGTGGCTCGAAACAAGTAGAGCTTTTCTCAGTATATTCACGTGAGTAGTCTCACGATAGTTAATATAAAAACGACGTAAAACATTATTGTTTTTGAGTTTGCTATCTTTACCTTGATGCGTACCAATTAATTATACTGGCCTACCTACATTTGATGTATTTTTTTAATAGAGGGCGCCCTAGACGGACATATAGTGACCAGATTGGCGATATATTAAAGAAGGGCCAAATTAAAAGTAGGTACCCTTAACCGACGAGCATGCATGAAAAGATTGATGACTGTTAATGAAGCGAAAGAGGTATGTAAGAATAGTAGTAATTGGCGTTCCTTAGTCTCTGCCTACCCCCATGGGAGACAGGCGTGAAGTTATGTATGTATGTATGTTTTTTTAAGGGGAAAAATCATCGAATGACTGCTCCCGCCTGCCTAGGTGAGGCGGGAGGGAGTGTCAGACTCTTACTGACTAAAAACCACCCCGTTCCTTCTCCTGCACGTCGAGCTGGAGCCCCGGTAACCCGTTAGGTTCAGATCCTTATTATAGGTTAGTACCTACTTAATTTTTTTTTATTTTTATAGTAAATAATTTAAGCATCGATTCAGATAATCTATATTTACATAAAAATGAATCCCTTGTTCCCTTAGTCACGGCATCACACGTGAATGGCTAGACCGATTTCACTAATTCTTTTTTTGTTGTATTTGTTATTATAAGGAGAAGGTTCTTATGACAGAAAAAATCTTGAAAATCCTAAGGAAACGGGAGAAAACGGGATCGCGCGTACGAAGTCGCGAGCAGTAGCTAGTAGGTAGGTACTAAAATAGGCAACTTTAGACCAACGCACTATTCTCATCTTAACCTGCCTCAGTTTTAATTATTTTTATCCTTCTCATTTATTTAATTATGACTGCCTAGTTGGCCGAGTTTGTCGCAAGTGCGACTGCCGGGGCAAGGGGCCTCGGGTTCGATTCCCGGATCGGGCAAATAATTTCTGCGTTTTTTCAAAATCCCCAGTAGTAGCACGGAATCTGGAATCGTGCCCGGTATATGGCAATAGGCTCACCCCCTATTACATGGGGTTATAATATAAATAGTGAAAAGTGGGTGTTATATTGTACAGTGGCATTAAGTGCCGTAATGTGCACCTCTATCTACTCCTTCAGGGATAAAAGGTAAGATATTTACCTACCTAATTTTTGGGTTTTGATTTCTTTCCCGAGTATCGAACTATAGACTTCATGTTGATCAACCAATAAGCAAATTAATGGCATTTTTAAAATAGACAGTGTGTGTAATAAAAATAAAATTAATGAATTAGAGTCAAATTACGACATAGTTTAACAATAACTAGTTTTTAATTTATTCGCTTTTTAACATTGACATTGTAAATTTTCGTACATAGGTAATATAAATAGATAGATCTATACTAATATTATAAAGAGGAAAGATTTGTACCTATTTTTGTATGTTTGTAATGAATAGGCTCAAAAAGTAACGGGCCGATTTTAAAAAATCTTTCACCAATAGAATGCTACATTCTTCCAATTTGACATAGGCAGATAGGCTACATTTCATTTAGTCGTAAAATGTCTTTCGTCGAATGCGCTGCCGAAACTATTAGCGATAGAACAAAATAATGTGCAACAATATTGAAGAACATCATAATGTCTACAAAAAACTCCGCGGTAGCATATTTTTTTTTTTTTTGTTTTTTTTTTTTTTTTTATGGCATAAGCCGGTAAACGAGCAGACGGATCACCTGATGGAAAGCAATCGGCGTCGCCCATGGACACCTGGAATACCAGAGGCGTTACAAGTGCGTTACCGGCTATTTGTGGATTAGGAGTTTGAGGATTGTTGGGGATTCAGGGATTGGGGAGATTGGGGAAGGGGAGGGAAATTGGGCCTCCGGTAACCTCACTCACGCGACGAAACACAATGCAAGCGTTGCTTCACGTCGGTTTTCTGTGAGGCCGTGGTATCACTCCGGTCGAGCCGGCCCATTCGTGCCGAAGCATGGCTCTCCCACACTTAAATATGTCCAACTATTGTAGTTATGTCACTACAACAATCCAAATTTCCAAAAAGAAATAATTGTCTACCCCGTGCGAAGCCGGGACGGGCTGCTAGTACCTAATAAAATGGATACCTGGTACCTAATTTTCTACTTATACTTACAGAAAGACATTTGATAATTAATTGATTTGTTTGCGTTTAGTCTCGAAATGTAGGTTAGGTACTTACCTAATAGACTGATTTGAAAAAGTAGTACCTACCTATTGAACCATTGAAAAAAACCTATTGTCAAGGGGTGGATTACCTAGAATATTTTTATCCCAATATTCCTACGGGATCGGGACTTCCCGTAAGATACTTACGTGAAAAAAATATACTGCGGTCATAAGTCATACTTAGTACCCACTTAGGTATAAAAATACTGTTTACAAGTAAAAATAGGTACTATTTTTAAGAGTCTGACACTCCCTCGCGCCTCACTCGGGCGGGAGAAGACATTCGATGATTTTCCCCTCTATAAAAAGGCCTCATCATTGCCATCATTGCCATCATTGGTCTGCCTCGTTGGTCGAGTGGTCGCAAGTGCGACTGCCGGGCAAGGTGTGTTGCGTTCGATTCCCTGGTCAGGCAAAATATTACAGGGTTTTTAAAAAATCTCAGTAGTAGCACGGAGACTGGAACTGTGCCCGGTATATGGCAATATGCCCCCTATTACATGGGACTCATAACATAAATAGTGAAAAGTGGGTGTTACATTGTAAAGTGGCATAATGTGCACCTCTGCCTACCCCTTCGGGGATCAAAGGTGTGACGTTATGTTATGTTATGTTCATAACCATCATGTCAGTCTGTTTCCGTCCAGAGCTGAACATAATATCTACTTAGACTTCTACAATAGGTACTCTTCTGTATACTGCAGTATTTCAGCATCCAAATACTGCAAGGCGAACATAGAGAATACCGTCACTCCTAAAAAAACGCATAGGGCACAAAATTGTCAACAAATACAAAATAAATAATACTTAGTCTGTCAGTCCGTCAGTGAAGCTAGGTGAAGCTAGGTGCTCATTCCAAAATTCGAATGGAGAAGAACGAGCAAGAAACTCCAACTTCGAGCAACCTCGTTACTCTTTTGAACTAACTATTTCTCATCTGTTATGCTCTAGAAGTCGGTTGAAAGAGCGGTGCTGTCTGCTGTCTTGATAAACATGAACCTTCCCGGAGAACCTAACGGGTAACCGGGGCTCCGGCTCGACGTGCAGGAGAAGGAACGGGGTGGTTTTTAGTCAGTAAGAGTCTGACACTCCCTCCCGCCTCACCCAGGCGGGAGCAGTCATTCGATGATTTTCCACCCTTAAAAAAAAATCTGTCTATTACTTTACCTATGGAAAAATTACTAATGCATTTTGAGTGATTACCTAAGTACTTATGACCGCAAACTATAAATGCATTTTTGATTATGCACTAGGTAAAAGAAATAGGTAACATGTAGTCCTGCTGTAGTAGCCATGGGTTTTTTTAAAAAGATGTCAGGTTTAGTATATATTTAGGAGTGTACCTACCTATGTCGTGGCTTCTAAATAGTAAGTAGGGATAGGTTCCTACAATACGAGAGGCCCGTAGAAAAAATGATCAAAAACATTCAACAAAATCAAATAGACTTGTTTACAGTTTACTGAGAAATCGGTAAAAAATGTAGAAAGATAAATAACGACGGTCTATCTACCGACCGTAGCGGCAAAAACTAAATAAGTATCTACCTAGCTACTTATCATAATAATTTTTAATAGTGTTAATTCAACACTAAATTATGGCACGTTATTCATTACCCATGAACACCGCAACATTTCTAATCCACATTTTGTAGTAAAGTTCTTCACACGCTGTTAACTTACAGGCAAACGGCGCAACGGAGCTCAATGAAAACGAATCTTAGCGCTAAACTTATTCTCAAGGCGGAGAGTAAATAGAATTATCTTCACTATCTGTCGTGTCATTATTTAAAATGTCTCCAAATATTCTCATAGGTGCAACTTGAGTGTAGATAGAGCATTGTTCGAGAGACTGGGCTTGTAAAGTATGTAACGAGGTAGACTAGAACTGTGTAAAACTCCAAAACATAAAATGAAACGCGAAGAAAGTCTGAGACTGAGTGGTACGAACAAACTTAAATTAGCTGTTGTTCAGTGTTGTAGGCACACCGCCGGCCGCTCGGCAGCAACAGACGGCGAGCAAGAAAAGTTAGCCATCAAGTGAGTGTCGCGGGCAGCCGCGGCCACTCCGCGGCGGCTCGGCCGCATCTCTAGCGCGCCGCACAAAAGATACGCCGTAACGAGCTCAATTGATGAACCAACGGAAACGTGTCCAATTAGAAGGAGGCGGCGGGCGCGGGCGCGGGCGCGATGTCTGGCCTCGCGCGGCGTGCTGTGTCCCCCGCGCGCCGCATTAACCAGATTAGCGGAGCGGAGCGCGCGCGAGGTGTGGCGGCGGCGGACACCTCGCCCGCGACCAAAAAACAACGCGGCGCCGCGGAGCCCCGCCCGGCGCGGGGGCGCGCGGGGAAACACGCGCGATTGGGCGGCGCGCGCGGGAGGGGTGTCGCGCGCGGCGCCGCCGGCGGCCAGTCGTTTGACGCCTGCCGCGCGAGCGGGTGTCGCCACGGGAAGAGCGAGTGTCGCACGAGCCGCCAGCCGGCGCGTTATGGACGTTGCATGAGCGGGCGCGAGCGCGACCGCTGGAGCCGACGGGCACGCCGGTCGTGGAGCGCGCGCCGTGGGCCCCGGGCGGCGCGGGCATGCGCTTCGAGGGCGCGGAGCGGCGCGACGCCGTCGCGTTCCACCCGTTGCTGGCGCCGCGGCCGAGCGACTTCTCGGTGTCGGCGCTGCTGACGGCGGGCGCGCTGCCGCCGCCTCCGTACCTGCCAGCCGCACTTGCTGCTGCCGCCGCGCTGTCCGCGCCCTGTCCGCTGCTCAAGCCGCCACCGCCGCCGTACGCACCGTTGCCGCCTGACGACGACGGTGTTGTCGATGACCCCAAGGTCACGCTCGAAGGCAAGGACCTGTGGGAGAAGTTCCACAAGCTGGGCACCGAGATGGTGATCACCAAGAGTGGCAGGTCAGTACGGCCCCGTGCCGCATCGCGTCGCTCGCTACCGACGTCTGTGATCGTGTCTGTATACCGCGAACGTGCCAGTGTTGTGTGTGATATGAACCTCCGAACGATACGGTAGCACCTGCACTGACCGGTAAGTGAGCAGAGGAGCAGGGTCTGTAGATAAGCTCGTTACAACGCGCTGGGCTCCGCACGGTGCGCCGCTCGCGGAGTCACATGGACTTGTTTACAAAAACAATTAATAGTTAGGCCTTTTTGAACATTCGCTTGCAATGTAAACTGTAACCTTTATAAATGGGTGAGCTATAAATAATGAGATACGCATTCTAGAGTGAAATCAAATATCAAAATAATGAGACCGAAATCCAGTAAAGTTTAGCGTAAGTTATTTAAATAATTGTGGCTTACCAGTCACGCTATTACGTCACATTGTTCAAATAATTGCCACCAGAGGATAAAATAAATTTCATACATACATAGGTGCTTGCCTAATTAGATTTTACCGGTCTTATTAAAACCGCTCTATTTTATGGCAAGGAGTAGGCGTTTCGTTACGGTGTTTGTTTGTTTTAGAACATTGAGTGGTTCTAACTGAACTTTGGTGTGAGGCTTTTATTGGTATATTTTTGTCGGTATTTCAAAGTAGGTTTTTAGTTTTGTACAAGTTCTGCTAATTACATGTCGCGCTCACGTAGGGTGGGATGTTAGCATAGGCGTATTTTTTCGCCAAAACCTATCATCCGTCGGAACGTGTGGTCGCATTAATTACTCTGCAAGGCTCGAACTGTCGTTTTATTTTGTTTTCTAATTTATTCCTTCTTTGAGACTGTCGGAAAAATGAGAAAAATATCTTTTATACCAAAATAACTAACAAAATACAACATCAGAAGTAAATGTTTGTTTATTGGCCATGTTCTAAGAACTGACAAAAATCGTTTTGGCTATCTTGCTGGAAAATAAAAAACACTGATTTAAATTTAAAAATAGTTTGTGTTGAAACTGATTTGGCATAATTATTTTATGAATAATAGCAATTAGATATCTTATTCGAATACACGAAGAGGCTCTTATTTATTGCCTTCGTGATCATTTTGGTACCTAGGTATATTTATTTCTCTTTTGTTTACCTGATTAATGCTTGCACAAATTGCAGTTGGCAGGTAATTTCAAGATGAATACTATTATGCAAATAAACCAGCTTTTATTTATTAACATGCATAGTTCTGACATCTATCAGTTTATTGACAGCGTATTTATTAAAATCTCTTCGCAAATATAATTATGAAAAGTAGGCTTGAGAACTAAGTTGATGTAAAACATTTCTAGTACATAACGAAATCAAAACTTTTTTGATATTTAAACTTTAAAGAGCGCTGCTCTCGTTTACAACTCACTCAATATAATTAAACAAAGGTTCTTAGCACAAAATATACAAATTCATATTTATATATAAAGCCTTAATCAACTTTTTTATACCGAATTACAGTAAACAATAGGAAACGCAAGACCTAACCACGCATGTAGTTGTCGTGTTCCCTAAGAATTATAGCTCAACTATTTACAATATGTATGGTGCGTGAAAAACTTTATGGGCTACTAGGTACCTCTCCATTTCATACCTAACATGTAATAAAACAATGTGACGCACGCACATCACTACTGACAAATTTATTTGACATGAACGAAAACGCGACACGCGAAAATGTGTGTTCCCCAACACTATTTAGTGAAATGTGTGAAAAATATTTTTTTTAATGGCGTCTGCTATAGTCAACGGTCAACACGGCGCGCGGCCGGCTATAATGAACTTTCGAAAGTGTTTAAAAGTAAATAAAATAACAAATTCTCGCTGAGCTATGATTTATGGTTGTGGTAACTTTATTATTTATTTATTTCAAATATATTTTTAATATTAAATTAGTATAGTTATGTAGGTGGTTACTTGATCTGGTAGCTGCTACAAGGTATTTTCATAGCAAAATTCTATAAGAAATAGAAATTCTCTTTTATTTAAACAACAGCTAAGAGTTTACTTGTTATCTAGTTATTTTAAGACATTTTTTTTCATTATTTACTTTTCTTATTTCTCTTATATTAACTTCTGTTTAAGTGTGTATTAATTAAATCAATCTAAGAAGTTGTACTTATCAGAAACGACTTGTTTTATGATTTGTATTGTAAGAACTAGCTGCTCTTTCATGGCGTCGGGTAAATGTTATACTGTTACTCCTCGATAATGTCTCTTCGTATTAGTGAAAGAGCGGTCAAAATCGATTCAGTAGTTCTAATTATTGACTAGCTAAAATTTTTCGATTAATTAAAGAAAATACGGAGTCCTTTTTAGTTTCCTGAGTTTAATTATTACACAAAGTCGTTGAAACCGCTAAACAAATAAAAACGACAAAGATTAAGTAAACTTAAATAATACAGGCTGTGAAACAAAATTGATTTTAACATAACAAAAAAAGTAAAACTAAACGTTCGTGCAACCAATTCAGCGCACACACAATATGGCGGACTTTAGAAAAAAAAAAAATTAAAAAAAAACCCTTCCTATCTTATTTTTGGTGCGAATTCGCGGCAAAGTTATTTTTATGTAGAGATAAATATTTATAAATGTTATTATTATATTTATGGACATTAGAATTTATTAATATTTAATAGTGTGTGGGTCAATCGAGTTCATATTTTAATAATCAGCAGAGCATCTTAATCATTCACATAAACTGACTACAATTTTAGTCATTTTCATTCATAAAAATATTACTGCCTCGTTGGCCGAGCCGGGCAAGAGGTCTCGGGTTCCTAGGTCGGACAAAGTATTATTGGTATTTTCTTAATTCTCAGTTGTAGCACTGAGTCTGTAATTGTGCCCGGTATATGGCAATAGGCTCACCCCCTATTACATGGGACTCATAACATAAATAGTGAAAAGTGGGTGTTACATTGTACATTGGCATTAAATGCTGTATATAATGTACCTCTGTCTACGATACTATATAAAAGACGTGATGTTTTGTATGTATTTCCTAACGTAAAAATATTATATTTTGATAATGTTATAGTTTGTCGTATAATTATTTATTTATGTTTACATTCTAGGAAGCATAGTTCAAAACAATTTGAAGTTTAAGCCATAATTATTTTTGCGCCATAAATTACTTACTTTGTAAAACATTATTATTTTCTTTGAAACGAACTAGTTTGTTAGCATTATTTCACGCTAGTATCAGACTCTTACAGTATATTAAATACTACAAACTAAACTACAATATTTGTTGTGGTGATAACTATATAAATCTCCATACAGATAAATAAAATTGTACTGTCTGTTTGTAATATTAAAATAACAGCTTTTTACTACATGCATATGAATATACAAACGATACACATATACCAAAATACCATTTTTTTTACAATTTTTGGTCTGACTATGTGTCTGTTTGTATTGACTAATCTCTGGAATGGCTGGACCGATTTTGCGAGACTTTTATTGGCAGGTAGCTGATGTACTACGGAGTAACATAGGCTACTTTTATTTAAGAAAATTGATACAAAAGAAGTTAGTTGTGTTCTAAAATCCATACCTATTTTATGCGGACGCAGTCGCAGGCAACAGTATGGATTAAATCTTTATTATAGACTAGTTGTTTACAATTGCATTGGACGCGTGGTCAAATTGAAAAAAGTAGCTTGTATCCCTTTTTGTTCTTCTAATCAGACACAAAAATATTATGGGTATACAAGGCTGGACATAAAAATCAAAGACATACCAATATAAACGTTTGGTGTTGCGGGTATCCATGGGCGGCGCTGATCGTTTACCATCAGGTGATCCGTCTGCTCGTTTGCCTCCTATTCCATAAAAAAAAAAACAAAAAAGAAAGAAACACTCCTTTGGTTGTTTTCGGAATAACATAAAAAAATTGACAATAACTGACATGGACTACATCAGTGTCTAATAAAATTCAAATTACGTTCCATTTTTAAAAACTATTTTCAAACAACATAGGTAACTGTGATGCTATCTGTAAATAGTAATTTATTGCAATTTTTATTTTATTCTTTTTTTAAATTTAAATATTGTGTTCTATTCACGGAATATAGAATACAATGGAAGTAGCTTGAAACAATATTTCTGCCAGAACCGGTGTCGCCAAACTAATACATTTATAATTTACTCATACTATAAATCGGAAATTACGATTGGTTAGAAAAAAAATGGGCGTAAACGAAATGCAAAAAAAAGTATCATACGATATGCAACTTTAAAACCAATGTACTATAACTCAAAATAAAAAAGTATGTTTTGGACTACCAAGTACCGCCATTCGTCGCTAGATGGCGTTTAACAATGCCATCTAGCGACGAAAAGTGGTACTTGGTTTGAACTTTAACGTTGTAAGAATAAAGGTGATATTTGAATGGCTTATCACTAGCTCGAATGCGGGTCTCTACTCAGATAGTGATGTAGATGATGATTCGATAAAAATAATATCGATAATATGAAAATGTGTTTTAAAAATAATATGAAAAAAAATATTGACTGCTATAGTGTGACAGTATTAAAATAATAAAATTAATATGTCGTTGATAACTTTTTAAACGTAACAAAAAAGGGTAAGTATTTATTTACATGTAAATCAAAAACCATTTTGTTCGTATTTTTTATTAGTTTCTTTTTTCAAAAAATCATTTTTTTTATTTCACATAGGCAATATAAGTAACAACTATTACATAAATTTTTACAAACTTTATATGGATAATGTGATAAATGAGAGGGATGGCGATAAGGATGACGGTGCTGATCTGCTCCGTGAAGTGAAGGTTGCTTCCAATCACGTCGGGGTCACCACTAAAATAATAATAAAAAAATAATCTAAATAAATGTTACATTACACTTGCATCGATATCAATCGATAAATTCAATATGTGATTTGACTACATAACTATTTGAGTAGCGTAGAACTGGCGAGAATGTTCTATTGAATGGAATAAATCCA